GTGTGTGTGTGTGTGTGTGTGTGTGTGTGTGTGTGTGTGTGTGTGTGTATGTTCACGTGTGTGCTGATGCATGTCTCCATCAGGTGCTTCACAGTTTGGTGTGCAGTGTGGAGAAACAGGCCTCCACTGAGTCAGGCTGTCCTCTGATCGTTCGCTGTAAGAACTTCCAGGTTCTTCACTTCAGCATTCCCAGAGATCCAGACTGCCACGATGTCTACCTGTCTCTGCAGCGTCTCTCCCAGCCAGGTGTGATGATAAAAAGGGATCTGGTCTATATAATGTTCTAAATTATTCAAATCTAACCTCAAGTTTGGAGTTGAAGCCAGCAGGACCTGATTTAAGTAAGGTGCTTAAACGTCTGCTGGAACCAGTGGGTTCTTCCCTGTTTATGTTATTAACAGGTGACATTCACCACAGCGTTTCAGATAGGTTGTTTGTACTTTGACTGGACCACTGCAGCACACTGAATCTCCAAACTTTTTTCCCCCTGCTGCATTAGGGAACATTGTTCTGTTCCATCATGCCTCTAGAATACTTTGGAGGAGTTTGTGGTTGACTCTGCAAGGTCGTGTTGGTACAAAACCAGCTCAAAGCATCCAGGGGCGGAGCAAGGTTTTTACTGGTGGCCAGGGTGTTTTTAGGGGGTGGGGAGCACATACAAACAAAGAAAAGAACTCTGGATTTGAAAATCCAACATGGCTACCACTGTTAATTGCAAATGGTTTTAATTCAGTTGATTTAATATTGAGCTGAAATTCTGTGTAGCTAAGAATGAGCCAAAAACATGCTTAATGCTAGTCAAGCTTATTATTCAGCCATTTTTAGACATACAAAGTAGGGAGGCAAACGGTTAATCGACTTACGATTAATTGTTGAATAATGGTTTATTAGTTTAAAATTTCTTTTATTCGATTAATTGAAAACATCCGTTTAAACCATACAAAGTAGGGAGGCAAACAGTTAATCGACTTATGATTAATTGTTGAATAATGGTTTATTAGTTTAAAATTTCTTTTATTCGATTAATTGAAAACATCCATTTAAACCAGGGATGCCCAACCTATTTTGAACCAAGGGCTACTTTTGAAGTCGACAGTTTGCTGAGATCTACTCGTCCAGTCTCAGTATCAAAAAACATAATTTTTCGTCTCCCTACTCCTCACTTAACGTAATGTGTTGCTAGTTTTATTTAATTTAAAGTATTGTCAAACAAAGCTATCTACTTAACCATATATTTACCTACTAAAAAAAGAAAAGATAAAATCCTTACTTAACTCCTGACAGAGAAACAGAAGAGTGATGCTCGAACTTTTTTCAAAGTCAAAGCACACAATATAAAACCCTCTCGTTTATACTATTACAAAATTGACTTATGATGGTGCAGATTCACAAATTTCCAAGAACTATTTCAAACCTCAATCTCTGTGCAGCGTGCTTGTCATCTGCGGGTGTTGAAGAGCTCAGTCCCTCACTGGTCCAGACTGCCGGCTCCAGACCATTCAAAGAGTTCCACCTGTTCACCACCTATAAGACAAGACACACACACAGCCACGTTAGGTAGAGAAAACAAGGGCACACCCAAACTGCAAAATACATAAAATAAATAAATATCATAAAGGTGCCAGTCAGTGTATAACACACTAGTCTGGTCTAAAGTGTAATAAAAAAACAACATACTGACACATTGTGACAAGTCTAGAGGAGACAACTTTTTATGCAAGCTATATAAAAATAATGTATAAATAAATAATGTAAAAAAATGTATGTCTACCTTAGTGGGACTTCTGACACTGAGAGGAGGCCAGGGTCTCATAGGTGGGCAGAATGAGGTGGATGAGGTGGATGAGAGGCGCAGGCAGGTCTCCAGATGATCATCAGTGGATCTGTTCTTGGACTTGATGATTTTCATGTGAGAGAAAGCAGACTCAAGTTCAAATTGCCTCTTCTGATGGTGGGATACGTTTCCTCTGACAGCAGACTGCAGAACTCTCCATCCATGCGACTTGTTGTTCTGGATTTAATCCCAATGTCATTTTTACAGTGTCAAAACCTCATTTTCAACAGCAGTCCAGCTGAAACACGGACACGAATTTGGACACAATGTCATCCATCCAGGTGGACAACTGCACGTCTTTATAGCAGCCACAATCTCACTTTTATTTTTAAAATCACGGAAAAGCACGTCTGCAGCATCAAACGCTTCTTTCATAATTTCGTCATCGCTGAAAGACGTTTTTTTGTGTTGAGCCATTACCTTTGCTTTGGTGTTGGAGCGAGTGAAAATCGATGTTGTGCTGCAAAGCCTGTTTTCAGCTCCTCTGAGCTCGGTTTAGGAGGGGAAATCCACCTCGTAGTGTCTGTGCATTGTTTTGAAAGAAATGCTGTTCCACATTATCCGTTTTGGATAAGCCAAGGTAGCGCTCGAATTATATAATAGTCCTCTTCCCACTCCAGGTGAAAATAATAAGTTTTTATTTGCTTGTTAGCTGTCTTTCGTTCATTTTTTTCCTGCCTCAAGATCATGTTCGGAGGGCTGTTTCACAGCACCTAAAACTCGCGAGACTGGTCATTTACAAGATGGGGAGGATGAGGGGGAGCGCGTTCAAGAATGCAATGTTAAACAAACGTTGCGAAGAGTGCGTTGAAGGCTGCAATGTTAAACAAACAAATGTTGCGTTCTACAAGAGCACGTTCAAGGCTGCAATGTTAAACAGTGCTGCGTTCTACAAGCTCCGTGATCCATTGCTCTGTGAGCTACTGCTAACCAGCTAAAGATCGATTGGTCGATCGTGATCGACTGGTTGGCCTGGCCTGGAACCTTATTTCAGTGTAGTTTTGCCTTCATCCAGTAGATGGTGCTGCTGCTCTCTCAGCCTGGCCTTACTCTAATCTCGACCCTGTTGAGCTGAGCAGAGAGCCGGCCGCCTCCATAATTAAACATGCAAATCTTGTTTAGTTTTATTTGCGATACAACAATAATAATGGACTACACCAAACTCGATGGAAAAGTACCAAAGGCTGTACCGGACTATCCAGCGGTATGACGCTAAAGACGAGAGCAAGACAACAGCGAGCACAGTAAGCTAACTTTAGCTAACGTTAGCTTCTTTTCCGTGTGAAATAATAAAACAAAAAAAGTTAGTCACAACATATAATTAACGTGAAGTTTATCTCGTCTGTGTGGCATAACCCGGCCAGTGAACAAATCAAATGAACAGTTAGATCATGCAGCAGCATGAACCACAGGGAATGTAAACAAACACAGTTCCAGTACTCATTTCTATTGTTCACCCGTCTCAGGTCATGTTCATAATTTGTTTTTTGAGTAAATCTTTAGATTTAAATGTTACCCTGTGTTTAAATGTTGGTTTACATTTCTCTGTTCAGGGTGGATTAAATGTTTTACTTTTTTTTCTTTCCTTTTTTTCAGTTAGCAACCTAATGGATTCCTCTTTTGTTATATTTTGTAAAAATGTCCAAGTTTAGTCATGTGTGAGAAATCCACAATTTTCTGTTTAGCCCTTCATGTCACAGAAAGACCCTTGATTGAAGACAAATGTCAGGTTTTTAGGAAAATGGCCGCTTATCAATTAATCGTTAGTTGATCGATAAGATCATTCGACTTCATATTAACTCATTAATCGATAACTTGCATCCCTAAGACAAAGGTAAAAAAATCATTCAAGTTCTAAATGCTAATCAAACATTTAAGATGGCCACCACAGCCAGCTGTGCTGTTGAGTACCCAAGTATAATCACATGCTGATTGCTAGTCCCAAGTTTAGATAACCAGTAATGCTAATTTTACAAAAGACTATAATTAAGCCATTTTTAAGCATACACAGCTGAAAATGTATATAGTACAATATTATTAGAACAATCTTCAATAAAATTTATATGCAAATACAAAATCCAAGATTCCCACCCACATGTCAGTCATTTAGAGTGGCTGTGGTGGAGTGGTTAGGGGAGTTGTCCTGGAACCGGAAGGTTGCCGGTTCAATCCCCCGTCCAGCTGTTTCAGTCTATGTGTCCTCGGGCAAGACACTTCACCTGCCTTGCCTGCTGATAGTGGTCAGAGGGTCCGGTGGTAGGGTTGGGCAATATTGGCAAAAAATTAATCATGATTAATTGTAGTATTTAGCCGATAACGATTAATTTGACGATTATTTCCCTGGAGTCCCTGGACACTCTTACATCCTAGTCACATGACCAATTTAGTGGGAAAGATTTGCTCTTCTTGAAAATCTGTTCCAAACTGTGTCAAAATTACAGACCTCAGGCTTTAAGATCAAATTTCAAATTATATTGATAGATAAATAAACTACTGAACTTTTATTTTAATGTTTGTTATAATTGAAGCGGAGAGGAGCACCGAGTGGACTCTGCCTGGTGGCATTAATTGTATTAATCGTCAAGTGCCAGAAAATAATCGATTAATGTTTTTCTGACGATTAATTGCACACGGTACGATTATGCCCAACCCTATCCGGTGGTGCCGGTGCATGGCAGCCTCACCTCTGTCACTGTGCCCCAGGGCATCTGTGGCTACAATGTAGCTTACTGCCATCAGTGTGTGTGTGCATGGGTGAACGTCTGCAGTGTAAAGCACCTTGGGGTCCAAGTGGACTTGATAAGGCGCTATATAAGTTCAAGCCATTTACCATTTAGGCCCACCCCTCTGGCTCCGCCCTTGAAACCTCTACCCCTCCACCACTGTTCCAGAACACTGGGATGAGGTGTTTGTGCTGATATGCTGTGTTTGGTTTTCTCCAATTATGGTGCCTGAGCATTATGGGTAAACATCTATACTTTGACCATGTACACTTAACAAAAATATAAATGCCCCATGTCAAATATTGTTGCCATGGTGAGTTGACAACAGTAAATGAGCATTTGCTGACATTTTATTGTATAAAGGTCATATTTCTCTTGATTTGTGTATAATTTAAAAAAAACTTGCTGTCAGTGAGCATTACTCAGTGAGTTGTTTTTTTACTCACTGCATGGGTGGGGCATGTCCAGTGGGTGATCAGACAAAATAATCAACAGCTGGACAATCCTTAGACTGGAGTCGATAAAAGGCCACCCCAAAATGTCGATTTTGTCACGTCATAATGATGTCGAAAGTTATGCGGGAGCATGCCATTGGCATGTTGGATGCAGGGATGTCTACCAGAGCAGTAGCTGCAAGGAATTCCTTCAAACAGAAGACTTTGAAGTTCTGGATTGGCCTTCATATTCACCAGACATATCCCCAATAGAGCATCTTTGGGATGTTCTGGATAGGCGTGTCCTGGACCGTGTTCCAGTTCCAGTCAATATGGGTCAGCTTCATGTGGCACTCCAGGAGGAATGGAAAAACATTCCACAGGCCACCATAGACAATCTGATCAACTCCATGTGAAGAAGATGTGTTGCTCTGAGAGACACAGCTGGCGGACACACAAGATACTGAAAAATCAAATTCCTCAACCTGACCCCTATCATGTTCAAAGGACTTTCCATCTGCTACAGATGGCCATACCACGATGTTATCAATGCAGATATGAAAGTCAGTAGTTACTGAAAATATGTTTTGAGTTTCTCTATATGTTGTGTAACACAAATATTCATAAAACTCTTGTATTTGACATGGGGCGTTTATATTTTTGTTAAGTGTAATAATGTTTTTAGAGAAAAATAATATTTCCTTGGCAACCATTCTAAATGATACATACTTGTTCAAGTCGTCTTCTACTTTTCCTGTCATGACCTTCGACCAATCTGCTGCCTAGGCCTGTAGAGTCTGACATGAAGTTCCTGTCTGGTGCTTTTCATTTTAAAGTCAATGGATGCAGCAAGGTGCACAGTGGTTTGCACACAAGCTTTATGTTTTGCTTTTGTTTAAGAATGAATCACATGGTGGAATTTGTTCTGTAATTTTGTAAACTTAATGTAAGATTTGAATCATTCCAGAACCTGGTGAAGATTTGATCTTTAGTATCCTGATATGTAAAACTCTTAAGATTAAAGGAGTGTAGGCTTAAAATATCTCAAATCTCAAAATAAAGTTGAGTTCAGACTTTATTTCTTCACATTTTGAACTACCTGGTGCTCTTACTGATTTAAAGTGAAGGCGTTGCACTGATGATGATGATGATGATGATGTTCCATGCAGAGCGTTATGAGGAGCTGTACTGCTTCTCCTATCAGCCGAACGCTGAAGAAGACGTCAGACGACAGGAATGGGCCTTCTTCGACTTCAAGGCTGATTACAGCAGGATGGGGCTTCCCAACGCTCAGTGGAAACTGTCTCCCATCAACCAAAACTACAAGGTCAGCAGTTTGACTTCGGTTGAGTGGTTTTATTCTAGCATGTGAGCTCTAAGAGTCCTGTTCTTTTTAATAGGTGAGCAACTCTTACCCCTCCGACCTGTTTGTACCCGAGTCTGCTACTCCTCCAGTCATCGTGGGCAGCTCCAAGTTCAGAAGCAGAGGCAGATTTCCTGCCCTGTCATACTACTGTAAAAAAAATCACGTAAGTTGATGTTCACTTATTTTAAATTTCTTTTATGCTTCCTACAGAATATCAGTTTAAGAGCCATATTGGTGTCTTTGAGAGTTTGTCCACAGCATGGAAAGTTTAGATCTTTTTTATTCCTTTGATTGGCCAATTTTATTAAACCTGTCAGAGTTGCTAACTCAAATCCAACAGAGGACAACTGGAACAGTGCTGCAAGTATTATTACAACAGGCAAAGTAAAATAGGCAATTAATATGTTTGACCCATTCAAAGCTTGTGGTCCAGATGGTATTTTTCCAGCTCTTCTCCAAAGAGGACTGGAATTGCTTCTGGACACAATTACTATAATATATGTTGCTTGTTTAGCAAATGGCTATGTACCAGTTGGGTGGAGGACAGCATAGGTTGTCTTTCTGCCCAAACCTGGCAAACCAACATATAGGGGTGTCCCGATACCAGTTTTTTCAAGACTGAGTACAAGTACGAGTACTTCAGTTTGGGTACTCACCGATACCGATACCAAGTAGCGGGTTTAGGGTGGATTATCTGTTCAACTTGTTGAATATTAAACAGAATGAAAATGAAATGCAATTATCATGCAAAAATTGATGGGTAAATATTATGTTTGACAATAAAAAGGTAGTGCAAACTCTGGTTCACACTGCAGGCAAATCCGACCCAAATCCGATTTTTTTGACCCATCTGACTCATATCTGATTTTTTATATGACAGATGACAGTCTGAACGAGACAAATCCGATTTTTTCTAATCCGACCCAGGCT